TGAGGTTGTTCTCTCACTTGATCTACGTCAATTGTGGGCCCATTTCCTGAGCCATAGTTGCTTTGCATCCTGTCTGACAGTGTGACCCCTGGGCAGGGGGAAAACTGATGCAAAGTAATCGTTTGGGTGATTGGCCTTTTCTTGGGTGTCAGACATCATGTTGTTATTGAAGATTTTGAAAATCCAAAAAAAATTAACAGAAAGAAGAAAACAAAAAAGGAATTTAAAAATAAAAATAAAATGAGGTTTTGCATTATTCTTGTAATTTAAAATGCTTCATTAATTTTTATGAGGTATTTGGTCAGTGTTCCTTTATTTTTGTCAAATACAGATATTACACTAAGACAAATAAGCAGTGGATTATACTTAAAAACATTTAAAATTTGACAAACTAGATGTATCCTTTTGAATGTCACATGGTATAGCTGTGATCAGTTTTGATCCCCTTTGTATTTAACTTCTCTAACAGTGAATAAAGGAAATATATTAATATTCAGTTCATGAATAATAAGTTACATAGAAGCCACAGGTACCAATTGGTTTCTGCGCATATGAATCTCTAAGTTAGTCTCATGCTATGTAATATTTTAATGACAGTTGTATGAACGTAACCTGTAACTGTATTTTTATGTCAATGACTAGTCTATGTTGAAATGAATGAGCTTTCTGGAAGTCCTTTGTTCTGGCAAAAAAATTGTTTGCATTGAATATAAATTGCCTGGAATAATTGAAGTAACTAGAAGGAGACATAGCTAAAAGCAGCTAAAACAACCCCCCAGACATAAACCTCTCTAACACTGGGGATGCTCATATTTATACTGTGAAGCTCAAAATATCTTTGAAGACAATGTTTTAGTCAGAAGAATTTATGTCTCCATCTGCTGGTGTTAAAATTCTCTGACAGATTCTGTAACTTATATATAGTCTTTATAGAATTTGTCTTAAAATGATCCATTGTTATGTTAGTAAAGATGGAATCATAGACTCATAGAATCAAAGGACTGAAAAGAACCTGTGAGATTATCAAGTCCCATCCCCTGCCATGGGCACGAAGTTATTGGGCTCAAATAAGCTCAGTGAGGTGCTTGTTCAGCCTCCTCTTGAACACCTCCAAGGGTGGTGACTGCACTACCTCTGCTGGGAGTGTGTTCCAGATTCTAGA